AAGATGTAAGTGTCAAATATATATCTACATAAGCATATGCTATAAAAGAATGAAACCAAGGGAGATACAACCAAAGAAAATCAAACGAGGACAATTATAGCATGTAAAATGAGTGTACAGGAGTCAAAAGAGTAAATAAAAGACACCCATCGGGTACTTGCTGTATAACCAGGTCGTTATTCTGTGTGATGCTAATCCTACTACTTACAAAACAGAGACGAGGCACCAAGTCAGAGGACAATTGCATCACCAGGTGGAGAGCTTATATGAGTTACATAGTCTGTATTTGTATCCTCACCCATCCCTGATGGATCATACGGCCACCGCAAATGTGATGCCGTGACACATGCTACGCAACAGTACGGCACATGCGCTTTTCTGTTTGCAAGAGACAGCCGATGTCCAAGAGCACAGTTACAAACGAATTACCTCGAACGACTGAGACATGGCGTGGATGGTACAGTAATATCAATTACTTGCGCGTGTGTTGCTGGAGGAACACTTCCGCGACATGAGAGGTTGAGATGGCGATGACATTTGGTCAAGAGACGGACTATGACGAAGCGCAAAGACCTATGGATGGAATATTTCAACGAGCTCGTCGACGTCCATAGGCATGTATTCCTCGTTGGTTAATGTAATGCGACGTAGACGGGACGTGAAAGAGATACGGTTGAATGTCTTACAAGTACGACACGTGTCGCAGGCCGCACGTCGTAGAGAAGCGCGTTGCGCGAGAGTCCTAGAGACGATCATCTACGGATTTGGACCAGGAGCTCAACTGTTGGGAATGCTTCTTTGCTATTCCCAATTGCATTTGTCACTGCACGGTCATGGCCAAGGCACTGACAGCCGAAAAGTTGCGGTGAACTCGGATTGAGAGACAAATTTGTGGCCTTCCAATTGCCACGTTGGAACTGCCTCACACCGACACACCGACTGTATGCGGCGCTGTTTGTTGGGAAGACTGTACAAGCGAAAAACAAAACAGGACCGGGGTAATGCGATACCACGGACAAGACAGATGAGCTGGTCAAAGGTGAGCCCTGGCACCTCCCCGGATTCGCGATACCTTGTAGCTTCATTCGCTCCACTCGTTGCTAAGCTGCATTGGGACGCGATCGACGCCTCTGTGGGCGGGCAACGTTTGCAACGTTCGTCAGGCTCCGTCTCAACTGACATTGTACGGGGTAATTACAACATAGTACCTTTGTCAACTTGTCTTTAGAAAAGCTTTGGGCACTCTTGACCCTCACCGTCTAGTACCTGCGCTTCGCCTTGTCTCTGGAGGAGCCGCGATGCTCCCTTATTTTGCCCTCATTTTGCCCTCATTTTGCCCAAGGCCCGGCCAGTTCAGCCTCCGGCCTGAAACCAGTGAAGTGGTGGCTTCAAGTATGGCATGATGTTAAGATGGCCTGCCCATTTGTTGCACGTGCAGGATGCTTCAAGAACCGCCGGACAAAACCAATTCTCCAAGGTCGGGAAGCGCAGTTCAGGGTTATGGTCAGATCAGAGTAGTGATGATGCCATTTCAAGATAAGGGATCTATTGGGACGTCGTACAATGATCGATTTAGGGCTGCAATCTTTCGTGTCTGGGGAAGCACAATGGCCCCTGCTCAAAGCCCTACATGGTAGTACGACGAAGAGGGGCATGCATATCGGCATTGTGGAGAAACGTTCAAGTCTGTTGAAGTGCATCGACAGAATCGAGCGAGGTGAAGCGAGTCTCCAAGATGGAGGAGCGGTACAACAACTGACGGGGAAGTGGAAAGAACGACTGGTCATGAAGAACATCGGCGATAAATTCAAAATGGCTGGAGAGTGCGGGGAGCGCCGACTAGCGTGGAGGGAAGGAACAGTCTGAGGACCGACGCTGCTCTGCTTTCCTTACGTCTTGGCTGTGGTCCTTCCTGCAAGCTTATCTCTATCGACAAAATGCGTGCATCTGTGATTTTTATTGGCTGCAGGAGCTACTGGTCATTGCGATTGATAATAAAAAGTTGGCGGCAGGTGCGAATGAAATTGTGTAAAGACGGGGTTCCTGCCTGGAACGCGCGGCGCTGTCGGACGGCGGACGCCGTTTATTTTGGCCTATTGGAACTTTTGGCGTGCGCCATTGCTGGACCGGATGGCCTCACAGCCTAATGAGTAATTTGTGGGTTGCGACTTCCTCATGCAAGTTCAGAAGGAGCTTTCAGGCCATGTCGTCGGTAGGCCGGAGTTTTATGGTTGTTGACTTGGGAGGGTACGGGCACACATGCTTTTAAGCATATGGCGCAATGGCGTATTTTCTGCGTCCTATTTAGTGTCCTCAAAGTAGGCACCTAGTCCACGTATTAAGACTGAAAATCACCGAAACACGCGCCAAAAGCTCACACACGCTGAGCGAACGTCGGAGCAGCTTTCGGTTCGGAGGTGGGATCGCGCGATCTGATGCCACTAAAGAGGGGGCGGGGGAAGCCCTTGTAGCCTACTGTAACTCCCCTAACTCCTCTAACTCCTGCAACTTTCTTTGTCGGCCGCAGAAGCGACCGGGCGATTGGAAATACAGTCGGCGTCCAAGAGAGCACTCCGAGACACAAAGAGAAAAAAAAAGAGCGACAGAGCGTCCCAAACCCCGGCTGTCCGGCCCACTCCAACTTTCTTAGGCTCTGCAGAGTCCATACGTCTCTCCTCTGTTTCTGCCTCTGCCTCTGCAAATCTTCTGTAAAATAGTAGCTGAGTAGGCAGATGGCACCCCCATGGTTCCTGCCTCCTCCCGCGGTTCCTACCGGTTGCTGTTTCCCTCCTTCTCTCAACACCACCTCATAATTGACTATATCTTTACTCTCTGACTCCTCTCCAGACCCAAACGCATCTTCCTCTTCACTTTCACTGCCAAAATTCCAGTTCTCAGCCTCACAATCGCCAACTGTGTCGAACCGCACTCCAAAATATTAAAAAAGGGACGTGCCCACATTAAGCCGTTAAGCCCCAGCCAACCAGACACGACACAACCCGAAAAAAAAGGCTATCGCCGATAATTCGCGAACCATTCTTTCCCGAAGCATTGCGGCAAGCTTGCACACAGCTTTCAACCTTACACAACTTCACGACATAACGCGCCCGGCCGCCGTTGTCGCTCTCCACGTCTGTTCACTCCAACTGACGTGCTTGACAGGCGGCTTCTCGACGAGAATCGCCGTACCCTGAAGCCCCCACCACACGCACACGCAAACCCACGCCAAACTCGCTCTCTTCCTCCGTCACAAACACAAAGACGCCATGTTTGCTACACGGGTCCTTCGCCAGGTTGCTGCGCACGCCGAGCGCGCTCCGCTGATCAAGTTCATTGGCAAGAGATCAGTACCTGGTATGTATTGTTTTGTTTCTTTGCTTTCTTTTGACTCCTGTCCGGATGCCGCTTCGTCCTGCTAACTAACATGTCGTAAAGCCTCCATCGACCATACTCCCCAGCCGCACCCAGCGAGCCCCAGCGACTCTCTGCCCGCCGACTTCACCTCGGGCACCCACACCTCGTTCAGCTCCTACCGCGACCATGCCCAGCAGTTCGGCCCGCTGCGAAAGACCGTTCGGAATGCCGGCGAGCGCGGCATCGGCGGCACCTCGGGCCGCGAGCTCGGTGCTGTCCAACCCGGCAAGGGCGAGTTTTTTGACCGCAACGACCTGCCTGCCCGCTTCCGGAGGACCCCAATCTCTGTGGCCGAGATCGAGGCTGTGGAGACCGGCGGAGCTGCGTTCTTTGCTTGAGGCTGCCTGAGGTCCCCGAAGCTACATTAATAAAACTGTACAGGCTACAGCAGAAAAAAAAGCGACAAAAGACCTTGGACATGGGCCTGGTGACGACCATATTGGGCGGCTTCTATTCTTCTCGTTTGGCATGATTTTCGCATTTGTTTTTGTTCCGTTTCTTTTTCTTTTGTCATTGCTTGCAAGCACATTTGTTGCCTCAGTTTTGCATTGCACCCCCTTTTTGCAAATACACCCTTTTGCGGACACGACACGGGCACCAGCCGGGCAGGGCGGACATGGCAAGACGTTGAGACGTCGATTTGGATACTGGCAGGAGACATCTGAAAAAAGCATGTGCATTGACGTTAGGGCGGACAATGCCCAATCATTGGTGGAGCGGGTCCCGTGCAGATGCAAGGTGTAGGAAGAAACCGGGCGCGAAGACTAAGAGGTCATGACACGCGAAGCATGCGCAGCCGCATGTGAAACCGAGTTTTCACGGTCGCAATGTACTCTTGCGCATTTCGCTCATGTCGTCCGCCGCTGTTTCCTTTCTATTGCTTTTGCGCACTGCTCCGCATCGACACCTCAGTCGTTGATGCTCGTCCTATTGCTGGCTTTTGGTCATTCTCAGGCAGTTCATAGGCGTGTTGCCTTTTTGCCAAATGTACTTATATTACGTACTCCTCTCGTACAGCAAAACTTAGTTCATTCCAATTTTGCTATTCAGTGCTCGTGCTTTGTCGTAGCCTCCTCGATATAGCCTCCTCGATATGGTTCGCACCTGCCGTCTACACCTTTTCTAGTCGGGTGTTGTCATTTACGACAGATGAGTGAGCTCTTTCCTGTCCACATGTATACTACGAGTGCCTCGACAACACATCGTACCTGCCCTGCGTCGTAGCTTCACGTGCCGTGCGTCTTGCCAGCTATCTACGTTATGTGCATCCAGATGACAATACTGTTTGTTTGCCATTGTCGCTGTCAACCAATACGTTGTCACGCCACCATTTGGAGATTATTCCTATAATTGCTTTATTCTTCACGCATCATACTTTACAACACGCATGCAGGCATCGACTTTTTATACAACAAATCTTTCCACGGGTTACTGGAAGCCCGCGAACACTCCATTCAGCCCATAAGATACTCGGTCGCCGCACTTTTGTCGATTGTATCCTTCGGCCGTCCCGAAGCTCCTCTGATACCCGATCTGCCCGTTTCATCCAAATCACCGCCGTTCGGCCATCTCGAGCAGCGCCCGTCATGAACTCTGCAATGGACCTAGACGTGGCCGAGCGAGATCAATATCAGGTTTCCGCGAACCAGGACCAAACCGTACAATATGCAAACCATAATGATCCTCCGCAGGACGATGACGCCAGACGCCCTCGCTTCATACCGGCTCCAGCTCCAGCTTTGGACTGGGATGGTCTCCCATACCTTGTCCGGAGAAAAATTTAGGGTTCTCTGTTGCTGGCCGCGGACGAGGCGCGCCGTGAGTTCCAATGGAATAGAGCCAGCTCGGACCGCCCTACGCCACACATCCTGTCGACATATGCCGCTGTGAATCGCCAATGGCAGCGAATGTTTGAGCCTGTGACATTCAGCACGCTCATGGTCTACGGCGACGAGTTGGACGACTTTGCCAACTGCGTGGTCGGCGAGCCTGGTTCACCAAAACACGCTCGCCTTAACTACTTGATGCACTTGCACTTCCACTGCCGGCTCCTGCCATACCGCATCGACGAGTTCAACAAGGAAGAACCCAGCAATACCATCCGGATCGACAACCTCCGGTTCGAGGACCAAATTATGGGGCTGTTTGCGGTACTGGCAAAATGGGATGGACCCGAGGAGAATGCGAAGCTGCTTTTGGAGTTGAGTGCTGCCAGCTCCGGTGACACTTTTCATAGGGTTTCAAATTTTCGCTTGAACGAATACTACCGCTATGGAAGAGGAGAAGAGACTCATCATCGACCCAATTGCGACATTCCATTACTGCCACACAGTGGAGTGCCACAGGACGTCTCTTACAGTGTCAATGATCCTCTGCCCACCCGCCGCATGGCAGGCATCTCCAAGGATGGCTTCGGTCGACTTGGGCGGGAGTGGCAGTGGCACGCCTTTCATACAACACATACGCCCTCGATCCCCATTGTGCGTGGCCTCACAGTCAGCCTCCGGTTCCACCGTGTCATCAGCCACACGTTCTTGACGGCCATGATTCTCACGAAGCTGCCGAACCTCAAAGACATTCGCATCGAGCAGTGGAGATGCCTCGATTTGAAAGGTTGGGTGCAGAGCATGCTACAAATGACAGAGTACAAGGCAGAAGCTGACTAGTGCGTGTCTAGGGATCATGGCCGGTATCAGCCTGGACGAGTCGCCGATGATCAAGTCACTCCGGTCGCTTCGCATTTACTACGAGCCGACCATATTGCGAGGACGGCCCGAGGACGACATAGTCACCGCTAGACAGGAGGTGCTTCGGGGCAACCATTTTCTTGGCAAATTTGTGCGGGCGACGCGGCATCTCAAAGTCTTGGCCCTGACAAGACCCGTCACCGCGACGGAAATGTTCTTGACGGCAAAAAATCAATGCCCCGAGCAATGCTGGGCGGATCTCTACAAGGGGCCGTATTTCTACCCGGCCCTAGTCAAGGTTGCCTTGTGGGAGCCGGGCCTCTCCGAGGAGCACAAAGAGACCACCGTCGCCCTGATGGCGGCTGGGCGCATGGCAGTCCAGATGCCCCGGCTGCGGATCATGGAATTGTGGAACATGGAGGAACCATACATCTTCCGCTACGAAGCGACGCCCTGCACATCCAGCATCACCATGCTGGCATCCTACAATCCGAGACCGGCCATCAACACAGCGTGCTTTGATTTGTGGGAAGCCGCAGCAAATAACCACTACCGATCAAGAACGAGGAAACTGGAAATCAATGCTTGCGAGGTCGATTCGCAATTGGATGCTGGTAACCAAGCGTGCGTGGTATCCTTTTTGCGGCGCCTGAAGCTCTGCAACGAGATCATCGATCCCAGGTCTCTCTGTCAGCTCGAAGTCCTCGAACGAAACGCTTTCAATATGCAAAGGCTCGGCGATCCTTTGGAGCAGGCGGAGGAGGATGACCAAGAGTCGATGGGGACTGAAGAAGAACTGAGCGATACAGCTGCCAACATAGAAGGTGCTGCCGACTCGGCGGTATTCGACGATGCGGATTCATCGTAGATTGTTTGGCGGCGGTCCTGTGACTGAGTGGCTGTTGATGTTGAGGGCAAAAGGAAAATTACAACAATGGTTTTGCACGGGAATACTAAAGTGTGCTAATAGAAAATAATACGAGAAAGAATAACAAGAAAGCAGCCGAAAGTTAGGATACCGAAGAAGTACTAAAAGTAATGATGAATAAAAGAGATTGACATCAAGGACAATTTATATTTTTTTGAAAAAAAAAAAAAAACCCGATCCAGGCAGGGATCGAACCTGCAATCTCTTGGTTCGTAGCCAAGCGCCTTGCCATTTGGCCACTGGACCTGCTATGAACAATTCGATCCGAAGAAGTTGCTTTTGAATGCAAGTCCCGTGCTGCGAAAAAAGGTATCTAAAATCCCTCCACAATAACTAACCGTTCTACCTCACTTGGCTGTATACCATTTCCTTGTCCAATACCCATACAAAGTAATGTTGACTTGTTGTCCAAAAGGCAAATATAAAACGCCCGTCATGATATAATGTACAATGCCACTCCATTCTGGCTCTTCTTTAGTAAATCCTTGCAGCGTCTCCTCCCAAATTGTCTGACAGCCCCCGGCCTTTTAATATCGCACATGTCCACATGTCCCAACATCGAATGCACAGCGGAGAAAGTCGTCTGTGCGATCCGAAGTGTAAAGACGTCTCGCGGCCTCGATATGCGGGTCGAGGCAAAAGAAAGGTTGCGGGCCACTGCCGTCCTTCTCCCGTTGTTCCCTTCGTCCCATTGTCGACGCCGAAGCCGCTTAATCCTTCGACCCCTTGTGGTAGATCCGACCTTCCAGTCTCCGTTGGAACCGACCCAGGTGGAAGTTGATGCTGGATTTCCTTTCCTTCTGTGGCACCCGAGAGTCGACGCATTGCCGTAGTGTTGCCTCGACGGCTGCGCAGCCCGCTGCGTTGTATCCGACCGACGCCCAGCATGCTTTTTATCCTTTAGTTAGTGAGTCACTCGACGAGAGAGAGAAAGGAGAGGAAGGAGAGGAACCAACCCAGAACAGAGGACATGGCCACAATGCACGGGTCAGTGCCCTTGTTAACCACCGGGTCCTTGACGCGCAGCACCTCCATTGGTGGCAACTTGGGGGGTTTGGGGACCATGTTTGAGACGAGTTGTGGAGCGAGAGGGAGAGGAGGGTGTTTGTGTGGTGGGGAGGACGACGCGGTGCTGTATTGTCTTGTCGCCGTGTCACCGTGTCGTCGTGTCTTCGTGTCGTCGTCGTTGGCGTCGTCACTTTCGTCGCAGAATCGCAAACTGGTGATCCAATGGGCACGAGTGCGAAAATTGCGCTCTGGTTTCCCGCCAGTCCAGAAGAGCTACTATCAACACGTGACGATAAGAACAGCAGCGCCTCGGAAAATGGACTACAAAATTTGGTGGGTCCAACGCGTTAGTCCCCTAAACGTCCGGCAACTGCATACCCCGCCTCTGATTGGCTGGTGGTCGATATGTAAACAAACGAGAAATCCTGGCCCCAATCGTCAGTTGCCCAATATCAGCGCATGCCTGAATAGCCCTTCTTCGCTGCAATTCTGCTGGCCAACATTCGCAACCGAGGATCGCTCGAGATAGAGGCGGCGCGCGTTTTCTACGCTCCCACAATACGGAATACCCATCTTCGTCTCTTCTTCTTTATACTTCATTTTGCCTCTACTTTGCACAGCGATTTTCATTATTGCAAACAAAACTTCATATTTCCAACCAGCAGTAGCATCAGCACCACGTTCATATACGCCAACGCGGCACGCGATACTCTTTTTCTTTAGTTTCATGCGTTTCACGAACACCCAGTTGACCTTCGAGCGCAAAACGGAACCGCGATGGCCAGCAGCTATCCAAGCACACGGGGCTTGGACGGCGAAGCGGTCCTCGAACGTCCAACCGACTCAACTCCTGTCGCGACAAGCTTGTCTAGGTACATTGCAATAGGCCAGCGCTTTGTCTCTGCGATCATGTGTCTTACTGACTAAACTCGCAGGAATAGCTTCGCGGACACTGCGAGACCGACAATTACTGCCGCCGACTTCGCACCGATACAGCTCCCCCATCCTCGGCCGTGGAAACGCATCGCAGTCCCCGGTGCGGGCAACAAGCTAGGCCTACGCACCGTGTGGAAGCGGGTTGGCGGTGTGCCGCGATCGAGCGCGGACACGCGATACTTTCGGGGCGTCTTCGAGCTGCGTGCCAACGGCAGCGGGCCGCGAAAGCACAGACGAACCGAGCGCTATGTACCCGTCTGGGGCGACGCTCGATGGCAGGCCAGAGAGACGGAGATGCCGCTCGAGGACGATCTCGCTAAAGCTAGAGGTAAGGTGTACAATCGTGGCCCTCGCGCACTGAGGTGGAGGAGACGAGGGCTGACATGGTGGCATATTGGTGCAGACGCCGTCATGGCCGTCAGGACAGTCGCGGAAGTAATCGACACCAACATTCTGGGGCGCAGCCTCGCCGTTGTGCCTCGAAAGCGAAACAGCCACCGCCAGCCTCTCGCCGTTTCACTCCCAACGCCGATCGAACCTAGGGCGGCCGAAAGCCCCGTACGTGCTGCGTCCGTTGATGACTCGCTGGAGGCAATTGAGCAAAGCACAGAGCACATCACGAAACGCGCCAAGAGACGCATGAGCCGACGCATCAGCATCCTGGCGAAGCCGGAGGGCAGCAGCCTGCTGTCGCCAGAAAAGAAAGCCGCGCAACAGCACGTCTTTTCGTCTCCAGTCAAGAGACGGGCCTCCATGGTCACCATCCACGAGCCACCAGCAACACCAGCAACGTCCGCCACTGATGCCGCACCGGTGACACCGGGCACGGCAAGATCTGCCAAGTCAGTCGCCACCATTGCACCACCGATTGCTTTCGAGCCGACCTTTTCCAGCCCGATCAAAACGCTGGCTCCAATGTCTGAGAATCTGTCGCCGGCCAAGGCTGCCTGCGCGAGCGGAAAGTTGGTGCCGTCTATGTCGCCTGTGGTTGTCTTTGACCGGCCAGCCGCAGAGGAGATGGAGGCCGAGTCGCCCCATGAGGTGCAGCGGCGGATCTCCTTCCATAACGCGCGTCGCCGTGAGACTTCGTTCTCGACCATGGAGCGCCGATCACCAGCCAAGGCCACAAGCGCAGCACGAACCAGCCGCCGCCATAGCTTCATGCCACAACATGTGCCTCTGGTGTTTGCACAGACAAGCGCCAGGAAGAACCTCAACCGGAGGCATACTTTCCAGCCTGGTGGCCTTGGTATTTTCCTCGCGTCCGCCGATATGTCCTTCGAGGAGAACATATCCAAGGCGGACGACGTCCCAAGCGTCTCCGTTTCCGAACCGGAAAATTCCACCTCGACCATTGAAATCAGTGGCCTGGATGAGTCCACCGTCAACGACCCGCCATCGGCCCCAAAACAAGACGAGACCGTCGTTGTGGATTTACGCACAAACCTCGACATCTTCGGATCTGGTCCGCCAGTTCAGACGCACCACTCGCCATCGTCGGAGCACAATGTGTCTTTCGACTTGAAGCCTTATGTTGGGAAGCCTACGGCGTCGACCCCGACAAAGGCTACGATAGACGGCAAGGCCATTGCACAGATTTCATCTCCTGCTCCCAAGGCGAATGGTCTTTTGGATGTGCCCGCAGCAGAGTCAGAAAGTATCAACGACCCTACGGACAACCCCAGCGACGAGTCGCTCGATACTATCAACGATGAGGATACGGCGGATGTGTCCAATGAGAGTACACCCCGTAGCCTGAGCCCGGAGATGGACATCGATGTCTCGGAGGAGGATAGCCGCGAGGTCACCGACGAGATGGGCATTGTGTCTAGGCGACGTGCTACACAGCTAGACGAGTCGCTCCTGCTGCCACTTCCCGAGACAACCGAAACCGAAACCGAAACCGTAATTGACATGGACGCCGAGACAAAAATTATCAAGGCCGAAACAAAAGGCGATGACTACGGCTGGCAAAGCCCAACATCCGCCGAACTGGGCCACCTTCGGGATGCCATGCACACACCGCAACAGGACAACACCGCAGAAATTGCCATCTCACCGGCAGCTCCTCTCATGGACGTCGACATGGAGCTCCTAGTGGACGAGAATGATGTTGCGGACCATGAAGAGATGGTTAAAGAGGACGAGCTCGTCGATGAGGAGGAGGAAGTGGAAGACGTGGAGGACGTGGGGGATCTGGGGGTTCTGGAGGATCTGGAAGGCCAAGCCATTGAAGACATGGGAGAAGTCGACAATGCCGAAGCCACAGCCGCGGCCATCGACGATGTGTTCACTGCACCAGCCTCGACAACTGAGGATCTGTCGGACGGCTCCTCGCCAGCGCGCTCCGTGGATGAGGAGAACGGAGAGTATACGCTTACTCAGCCCATCAACATGTTCCCTGGTGGCGATGATGACGCAACAACAACGATGACCATGGATTTCGACAGCCTTGCGCAAGATGACCAGCTATCAGCGCACGAAGACTCCGAGACCGAGATGCTGAGAAAGTTTGTCACACGCGTCAAGGCCGACAAAAGCGCGAAAGCTGCCGCCGCTGCCGAGGAGGCGTCCGCTCGAACCCTTGCCAAGTTGCAGCGCAGACGCCGCTCCGGATCGATAAGCTCGACTGCTTCGTTGTCTGGGTCGCCCATGAACAAGAAAGAGCCCGGCGTTTTCGGGTCGCCATTCACCTCCCTGGAGGGCCGTATCCCCTTTGGGAAGAAGGACCATAACATGAGCCCAAGCCCCCGGAAGAAGAGACGGCCGCTTGTCGGCCCGTCGGATGGAAACGAAAACCGGTCCGAAGATCTGCTTAGCAAGCCATTGTTCGACGACAACTCTCCGCCACGGCCGAAGCGGCGCCGCAAGAAGATGGAGGTCGATACGGGCGGTATCTTCAACCCCGAGTTCATGTCCACCAAGAAGGATGACACGTCCGCCGAGGGCGGCGACGATACCGCCCCGGGTCCCCGCCGTTCGAAGCGTACGCGCAA